AGGTACTGGAGGTGCTGGAGCTGCTGGTCCTGGAGGTGCTCGTACTGCTGGTGCTGGAGGCGCTGGAGCTCGAGGTACTGGAGGTATTGGAGGTGCTGGAGCTGCTGGTCCTGGAGGTGCTCGTACTAGAGGTACTGGAGCTACCGGAGCAGGTGGTGCTGCTGGTGCTGGAGGTGCTGGAGGTGCTACTAGAGCTCCTGGCACTAGAGGTGCTGGAGGTACTACTGGTGCTAGAGGTCCTGGCGCTGCCGGAGCTAGTGGTGCTGCTGGTGCTGGAGGTGCTGGAGGTGCTGCTGGAGGTGCTGGTGCTGGAGGTACTGGTGCTGCTGGTGCTGGAGGAGCTGGAGCTGCTGTTAGTGCCCTGTGCAGACCGTTTTTCTACCCGCAGCCACAGTCGTCCTTGCCGTCGCCTGACTCGGTCCTTCGCCAGGTTCTTAGTCTCCCGTCTTCCACTGGCCCCCCTCTACCCCTCCTGTGTCCACCGACAGACTAGTCTCAGCCACAGCTACTGCCTGGCTCCCCGCTGCCTGCGCCTGCTCCTCACACTGAGGTGACAGAGTCCCTGACTGAGCGTCGTGAGCCTGAGACTCGTCCTTCCACACCTGTTCGTGCTCGTCGTGTCGACCGTCCACGTCCTCCTGGTGTCCGAGGCACTCACGGTATGGCACTTCGTCCTTCCTCTGTTCCACAGCGTGTTCTCCTGTCTGAGCCTCCCGCGTCCTCTCTTCCGCACGTTCCTGACCCAAAGTCTGACCTTGCTCGTGCTGCCAGTCCTAGTGTCACTCGTCTCCTCACTACTGTCATCATTGACCCTGACCTTGAGTCTACTGCAGCGTTTGCCCTAGTCACTAAGCTAGTCGAATTTGCAGCTATGAGTCGTCTCGACTACGTCGCGAGTCTTGTCACTCAGTCTGAGTCTGTCTGTCCTCCGTCCGTCGGGGGTGAGCTTGCTCTTGGTAGTGACGTACTTGAGGACATACAATTTGAGCTCGAGTGTCTTGCGGCCGCTTTACCTCGTTTTGCATCCATGCTGCTTTGCCCTGAGGGAGACCCGGATGCATTTGACATCCCTACCCTGCGCTCTTACGCTGAGGCGATCACGGGTGGGTACTCCTCTCAGTGGTAGACAGCCATGGGCGCAGAGATGGCTTCCAGGAAGTCCACAGGCACCTACGTCGACGAGGTTCCTCCTCCTGGGGCGAACATAGTCGATGGCATGTGGATTTTCAGAGTGAAGCGGCCGCCAGATTCTCCGCCTGCCTTCAAGGCGTGTTACGTTGCTCGAGGCTTCAGTCAGCGTCAGGGGGTCGACTTCTTCCAGACCTTCTCCCCCACCCCGAAGATGACTACTCTTCGGGTGCCGCTGCACGTTGCAGCACAGCGTGACTACGAGCTACACTTCCTCGACTTCTCCACAACTTTCCTGCAGGGCAGCCTTCTCGAGGAGATCTGGCTGCGCCGCCCACCCGGCTTCACTGGGTCGTTTCCTGCGGGTACCCAGTGGAGCCTCCGGCGGCCAGTCTACGGTTTCCGCCAGGCGCCCCGAGAGTGGCACGACACACTGAGGACTACACTTGCGGCTCTTGGGTTTGCTCCTTCCTCTGCTGACCCGTCGCCGTTTCTACGCACCGACACTACCCTGTCGCCGTTCTACATTCTAGTGTACGTCGATGACTTGGTTTTTGCTATTGCTGACACTGAGGCGCTGGCCCTAGTGAAGGCGGAGCTGCAGGAGAGACACACCTGCACTGACCTGGGTGAGTTGCGTAGCTATATTGGCTTGCAGATCACCCGGGACAGAGCACGGCGCACCATCACCCTGACTCAGTCACACATGGTGCACCAGGTCCTTCAGGGCTTCGCCTTCCAGTTCTCCTCGCCACAACCCACTCCTCTATCTACCGACCACTCGCTCTCAGCTCCACCTTCGGACGAGTCCGTAGAGCCGAGTGGTCCGTACCCAGAGCTTGTGGGTTGCCTCATGTACCTGATGACGTGCACACGACCTGACCTCGCGTACCCTCTCAGCCTCCTGGCTCGCTACGTGGCTCCTGGTAGACACCGAAAGGTGCACTGGGATGCTGCGTTACTTGTGCAGTACATCGGGCATGGGGCTCGTGCTTGGAGGACAGGGTTCAGTGGTACTCACAGGACACTCCGACGCTTCTTGGGCCGACGACCAGGCGACTCAGCATTCGTCACAGGGTTACACCTTCAGTCTTGGCTCTAGTTCTGTCTCGTGGAGGTCCACTCGCTCTTCTTCTGCGCCTAGTTCCAGCTGTGAGGCCGAGATCTACGCTGGGGCCATGGCTGCACAGGAGCTACGCTGGCTCACCTACCTGCTGACCAGCTTGGGGGAGCGGCCTCGTTCTCCTCTAGTTCTGTACGTCGACAACAAGGCAATGCTTGCCTTGTGTCACGAGCAAAGACTGGAGCACAAAACGAAGCACATTGCTCTTCGCTAATTTGTTGTGCGTGAGCTGCAGCAGCGTCGTCAGCTCCGCCTTTCCTACGTGGCCTCGCGGGCCAACACTGCTGATGTCTTCACCAAGGCCCTTGGGTCTGGTGATCATGAGCGTTTCTGCATTGCTCTTGGGCTTGAACCAGGCCCTCAGAAGTCAGCGAAAAAAGGCTGATTAGGGGTAAAAAGGCTGTGATTTCAGTGGTGGGAGAATAGTGGGGCTGTTGTGGCAGTTTTTTTTTAAGTGTGTTTGCTGAAATTTCAGGGTTTTTAAATCTGTATGTGCTGAAATATCAGCTTTTTTCCTGTCGTGTACGCTGTCTCATCAGAGTTGTAACGAAGGGGTTGGCTGAAATCCCTGTAATGGAGATTAGCGTAGGTGCCCTGAATTCCGGATGTCTAGGTACACCGGTTCGACCGTCCCTCCGTCAATCACGCCGAAATGGCAAGATTCCTTGCCAACGCATTCGGGAATGGTCATTCACGAACTTTCACTCCACTGCTGTCTTCTCGCGAAGGTATCTTGGCTCAAGGATACGGTAGAGATTCTTCTTTCCTGTACCAACTGTAGATGAAACCCCCACTGGTCGCAGACCGTCCGCTTCTTTCTCACCCACCTGGATCTTCACTCCCTTCACCTTCGCTTTTCTCGCTCTGAGCATCTCCCCACTCTCGGCGCCTGCATCGCTCGCAGCAGCCCCTCCCTCTCGTCCCTCCACTTGGAGATGCAAGGCACTTGTACTGGACACCTGTAGAGTAGAAGTGGTTCTTCTTCTACTCTACAGGTGTATTTCTCGCCTAGCGTCATTCCCTCATCGCGCAGCCTCACCTTCCCCTCGCTGCGCCATGCTTCCCTTTCCCCCCGTCGCCATGGCGCCGTGCGGGCCGCGTTCGCCAGCGAAGGTGGCGTCGCAGCTGGTCGTCGCTGTACGATGATCCGTGAGCCCGTGAGCTGCACTTCTCGTTCGTGCATATTCCTTGACGGGAATACCCACTCCTTTTCAGCCCGTGAGCTCAGCTCAGCAGCAACGCCATCTTAGTAGGTACGAATCTACAGACATTTGTTTCTCGTTACTCCTCATCGCCCCCCGCATTTGGTTCCCTCGTTTCCGTTTGATCAGGCTGAGACGGAGAGAGTGAGCTGCGAGGGAGATAGTTAGCTGCGTGGGAGAGGGAGTTGCGAGGGATAGAGGGAACCGCGATTCCGCTTTCACTCCCTCGTGCTTCCCGTATTCCTCTCCGTATTTTCTCCACCCGCATCCCTCTGCAGCTCTCCTCTGCAGCCCATCAGTGCGGCAGCAACACACCAGTATGCCCAATAGGTAAGTACGATTTAGGATAGAGATATTTATTTTCTGCTCCCTTTCCTTTCCCCTCGCAGAGCCAAACTTCCGCGTCGTTCCTTGCAGCCTCCAGTCGTCCCGCATTCCCCTCGTCGCGCAGCCTCGCCTTCCCCTCGCCTCGCCGATTGTCTCTTTCCCCCGTCGCCATGGTGCCTCACGGGCCGCGGTCTGCCCGTGAAGCTAGCATGGCGGCGGTCGTCGCTGGCCGCGGCGCTCTCTTTAGGCTCTAGTGATAGTGAAGAGGGTGATGATGATGAAGAGGATGAGGATATGTTTAATTAGATTTCCTGTAAACGTTTGTTATATCAATGCAGAACTTGTTTGAAATGGTTCAGTCTTCACCAAATAGTGACGCTGATCGTTCAGTTTTTTTTTTAATATACACCCTGAAAAGTCAGTTTTTATTTAAACAACAACACTGACAGATCAGCCATGAACACACTCCTAAGGTTGACCAGTCAGCCTACGCCAAAACGAATCTGAGGCCCTGGCTTGAACCCACTCTGGCTCACCTGCTGGTTGCTTGACTTGCTCTTGTTGTACACTGATATATATCTTTATACTTGCTTGCCTTGCTATTATAACTCTGCATGTGAACTGCCCTTGTGGCCGCTTGCTTGTGCTCAAATTGTGTGGTGTCCTTGAGATCCACCCTGAGCTTTGCTTTGCTATTTTGTCTTGCTTGACTGGTCTTGTGACCGTCTTGTTGTCCCCCACTTAGCCTATGGGGGTGTGTCAAAATACCATCTCACTTGTAGGCTATAGTGGGGCACTCATTGGGTACAGCACTTCTAGGGCTAGTACTTGTACCCCAACTCTTGCTAATCCAATCACTCCTGCACAGTTCTCTCGACACTTTAACCAGGCGTTGATCTCCTACTCACCTAACAATGCAAGCTCTTTTCAGAAGACCCATTAGCATCATTGCAGCATGGTCATAGCCCCAGCATCATCATTACCCCATAGTTTGATTGTCCGATCATACGACGCCGTGACGATGCATTGCCCATCTGTGAAGAAACGGTAACAGGAAAAAGGGGAAATGGAAGAGATGGTTGTTGGTCCCTCCCAAGTAAGCTAAAATCATGAAAGAGGGCTGAAGCACCATGGCCACAGCAACATCTCGGTATGGCCCCCCACCGCCCCCCACTACTCATCTGCCGCCACGTCAGAAGCACCCATGCCCTTGCCCTCACCTGCTGCCACGTCAGCACCCATGACCTTGCCTTCGTGCCCTGCCAGCACCTTCACGGGCTTGAAGTCGCGCCCCGACCACACCTGTGACAGGGGAGGGGGGAGGAAGGGGGGGTAAGGAGAGAGGGTGGAGCAGTGGGCGTTTTGAGTGCACTCTGGAATCAACAATAAACTCCCCCCTCGTGCCCGGCCAGCACCTTCACCGGCTTGAAGTCCCGCCCCGACCACACCTGTGACAGGGGAGGGGGGAGGAAGGGGGGGTAAGGAGAGAGGGTGGAGTAGTGGGCGTTTTGAGTGCACTCTGGAATCAACAATAAACTCCCCCCTCGTGCCCGGCCAGCACCTTCACCGGCTTGAAGTCCCGCCCCGACCACACCTGTGACAGGGGAGGGGGGAGGAAGGGGGGGTAAGGAGAGAGGGTGGAGCAGTGGGCGTTTTGATTGCACTCTGGAATCAACAATAAACTCCCCCCTCGTGCCTGGCCAGCACCTTCACTGGCTTGAAGTCCCGCACCGACCACACCTGTGACAGGGGAGGGGGGAGGAAAGGGGGGTAAGGAGAGAGGGAGGGAGGAGAGAGGGGCCATTGGAGCGTATTGCTAATGTACGAGAGCATACAGTACGGTATAAATCAATACACAATACGCAAAGATTCCAGGCATAGGATACAATACAACTACCTGAGCTACAATCACCTTTGCTAGGACCAATTTTACTACAGTCGGTCACCTTCACACCACCGTCGCAGCCACCTCAGCCGCACTCACCTTCACTCGATTGCCTTCTCTACAATCACCTTCGCCACAATCACCCTTATAGTCACCTTCGCCACAATCACCCCATGTTCACTCACCTTGGCGGTGTTATCATAGCCAGCAGTGAGCAGCAGCATTCCCTCCCTGGGTTCATACCGCACCACCGACACGCCAACCCCACTACCGCACTGCACCACTCCCCATTACCGCACTGCACTGCTCACCTTGGCCGTGTTATCATAGCCAGCTGTGAGCAGCAGCAGCCCCTCTCTCGGTTCATACCGCACCACCGACCCCCCACTCCCCGTTACCGCACTGCACCACTCCCCATTACCGCACTGCACCGCTCACCTTGGCAGTGTTATCATAGCCAGCAGTGAGCAGCAGCAGCCCTTCTCTTGGTTCATACCGCACCACCGACACCAGCCGCGTGTGAGCCGGGATCACATACAGGCTGCCCCCACTCCCCTCCGCCCCCCCTCCCCCCCCTCCCCCTCCCGCGCCCTTCCTGCACCGCCGCAGGTCCCACACACGGCATGTGTGGTCCTCGCCTCCTGTTGCTAGGTGATAGCCATTGGGGGAGAAATCACATGCCAGGAGCTGATGGGGGAATGGGGGAGGGGTTGAATGCAGGAAGGGAGGTGAGAGGAAGAGGGATTGGGGGGTACAGCCTGCTTTCCTGCAGCGCCGCAGGTTCCACATGCGGCATGTGTGGTCCTCTCCTCCCGGTAGCTAGATGGTATCCGTTGGGGGAGAAGTCACACGCCAGGAGCTGAAAAGGGGGGACAAGGAGGACAGGGGGGTCAGGGAATGAGGGATAGAGTCAAACAAGTGTGCCTTCCTGCAGCGCCTCAGGTCCCACACACGGCATGTGTGGTCCTCCCCTCCTGTTGCTAGATGGTAGCCATTGGGGGAAAAATCGCATGCCAGGAGCAGAAGCGGGGACAAGGGAGGACAGGAGGAACAGGGAATGAGGAATGAAAAACTTGAAGGACTAGGAATGAGGGGTACGAGCCTGTTTTCCTGCATCTCAGCAGGTTCCACACGCGGCATGTGTGGTTCTCCCCTCCTGTTGCTAGGTGATAGCCATTGGGGGAGAAATCACATGCCAGGAGCTGATGGGGGACAAGGGAGGACAGAGGGGACACGGAATGAGGGATAGAAGGCTGGAAGGGCGGGAATAGAGGATAGGAGCGTGCTTTCCTGCATCCCTGAAAGAAAATCCCACGCACGGCATATGTGGCCCTCCGTGGATAGATACTAGATGGTCTCTGTTGGGGGAAAGGTCACACGGCAGGAGCTGATGGGGGTAGGGGGGGAGAGAGGAGGAGAGGGCAGGAAGCACATGGAATGAGCAAAGGCTCGAGCCCATCCAGAACAGACGTTTGAGTCGATTCATAGGAAAAGACCATCCATAGCATCAGGTCAGACCAACGCGCTTCAAACCCCAACCCGCCAGCTTCACATCACATGCCCTTCCAGAGCGAGAATACTCCTGCCAGTTCTCACGTTCCACACCCGACACACAGCATCCAGAGCATCATGTAAGACAAGCAAACCCTAAACCGCGTCAAGGAAATACCCAACCCAGACCAACCAACTCAACCCAACCCAACCCAACCAAGCCCAGCCCACCAGCGTCACGTGTCCCTCCAGTGCAAGAATACTCCTCCCCGTCAGGTCCAACACCTGCCACTGCGCATCCACAGCATCAAGTCAAAATATCATGCTTCCCCACCCACCGGCGTCACGTGTCCCTCCAGTGCAGGAATACTCCTCCCCGGCACAGCGCATCCAGCCCGCACGTGGCCACCAGCATCTGGAAACCAGCACACGCTCTACACAACACCCCACCCACCGGTTTCACGTGCCCTTCCAGTGCGAGAATGCTCCTCCCTGTCCTCAGGTCCCACACCCAGCACAGCGCATCAAGTCAGACCAACAACCACTAAAACCGCTTCAAACCACTACCAACCCACCGGTTTCACGTGCCCTTCCAGTGCCAAGATGCTCCTCCCCGTTCTCAGGTCCCACACCCGGCACAGCGCGTCCAGCCCGTTAACCCAGCCCAACAAACCTAAAATTCACACCAGCATTCAACCCACCGGCTTCACATGTCCTTCCAGAGCTAAAATGCTCCTCCCTGTTCTCCCTGTCCTTCCAACACACCCAGCACAGTGCGTCCAGCCCACACGTGGCCATGAGGAGCATCTAAAAGCCAGCACACTTCGAATTCACACACAGACACCCCACCCTCATTACCACACCCACCGGCTTCACGTGTCCTTCCAGTGCGAGAATGCTCCTCCCTGTCCTCAGGTCCCACACCCGACACAGCGCATCCAGCCCACACGTGGCCCAAGGAGCATCTGAAAACCAGCACACTTCAAATATACACACAGAAACCCCTCCCTCATTCCCAACCCACCGGCTTCACGTGTCCTTCCAGAGCCAATACACTCCGCCCTGTTCTCAGGTCCCACACCCGGCACAGCGCATCCAGCCCGCACGTGGCCACGAGCGCGCCGTCCTTTTGGAAAGAGACGCCGTACACCGCCCGGCTGTGCCCCTCCTGCAGCAGCAGCTCTACGCCGCCCCGCTCCACGTCCCACAGGCGCCACGTCTTGTCGAAGCTCGTACTTGCCAGGAACCTTCCCGAGGGGTGGAAAGCAACTCGGGCAATCCGGTCTAAGTGGCCGGATAGGCGGAGGAGAGGGGTGGAGAGGGAGGGGGCGGAGGAGGAGGAAGGGGGTGCGGGGCGGGAGGAAAAGTCCGGGTTGTCGGATTGGCCGTTGGCGTCGGGTGGGGTTGATGCTGCCCAAGGGAGTGGCCAGAGCAGGGCACACCTGACAGGGAGGGACGGAAGGAGAGGGAGGGAAAATCAGGGTTCTTGGGTTGAGGGGGGGATGAGGGGTTGGCGGATTGGCCGTTGGCGTCGGGTCGGGTGGGGTTGATGCTGCCCAAGGGAGTGGCCAGAGCAGGGCGCACCTGACAGGGAGAGAGAGGGGCGCGGGGGTGGGGGGAGGGAAGAGCAGGGGAGGGGTGCGAGGTAAGGAGAGTGGGTTGAGGAATACATTGTTGTAGCGACTCAGAACCGTAATCGTCGGATTGGCCGTTGGCGTCGGGTGGGGTTGATGCTGCCCAAGGTAGCGGCCAGAGAAGGGCGCACCTGAGAGGGCAAGGGAGGGGAAGGGGGGTGTGGTGGGGTTGGGAGAGATGGTGAGCGCGGGAGAGGGTGGCGACTTAAAAGGTTCTAACCCGAGACGTACACCCACCCCACAATCCCTAATCCTAGTTCTTATGATATCCTCACTTGTCAGCACCAGCCGTGGCAAGGTTGGGGCCGGAGGCAGGGGGCGAGGAGAGCGTGTGGGGGCCCCAGTCTTAACCGTACCCCTACCCCATCATCCTCTACCTTGTCAGCACCGGCCGTGGCAAGGTTGGGGCCAGAGGCAGAGAGCGACGAGAGCGCATGGGGATGCAAGGCCCCCTAACCCTAGACGACAGTCTACCTACCCTAATCATATCCCTAGACCAACCCTGGCATTACTGTACCTGTCAGCACCGGCCGTGGCAAGGTTGGGGCCAGAGGCAGAGAGCGACGAGAGCGCATGGGGATGCAAGGCCCCCTAACCCTAGACGACAGTCTACCTACCCCAATCATATCCCTAGACCAACCCTGGCATTACTGTACCTGTCAGCACCGGCCGTGGCAAGGTTGGGTCCAGAGGCAGAGAGCGACGAAAGCGCGTGGGGGTGCCAGGCCCCCTAACCCTAGACGACAGTCTACCTACCCCAATCATATCCCTAAACCAGCCCTGGCATTACTGTACCTGTCAGCACCGGCCGTGGCAAGGTTGGGGCCAGAGGCAGAGAGCGACGAGAGCGCATGGGGATGCAAGGCCCCCTAACCCTAGACGACAGTCTACCTACCCCAATCATATCCCTAGACCAACCCTGGCATTACTGTACCTGTCAGCACCAGCAGTGGCAAGGTTGGGTCCGGAGGCGGGGAGCGAGGAGAGCGCGTGGGGGTGCCAGGCCACACACGTGGCGCGCTCTGAGTGGCCGCGCAGGGCGCCTGCCGCCCGCACAGCTGGCAGCGACCAGAGGCGGCAGGCGCCGCTCCACCCCGACGTGGCGAGGAGGGAGGAGTCGGGCGAGAGGGCGCAGGCAGAAATAGGGCGCTCGTCGCCTATCTCTGATACCTGGGGGGAAGGGGGGAGACGGGTTGGGGGGTGGGGATGCAATGGAAAAAGGGGAGCAATGAGAAGGTGGAGAATCAGCAGAAAGGGTTGACTATGAGAGTGCAGAGCAGCGACCAGAGGCGGCAGGCGCCGCTCCACCCGGACGTGGCGAGGAGAGAGGCGTCGGGGGAGAGGGCGCAGGCGGATATGGGGCGCTCGTCGCCTATCTCTGATACCTGGGGAGGGTTTAGGGATCAGGGTTGAAGGTTTAGGAGTGCGGGATGGGGTGGTGGGGTTATGAGAGCATGAAGCAGCGACCAAAGGCGGCAGGCGCCACTCCACCCGGAGGTGGAGAGAAGAGACGCGTCGGGGGAGAGGGCACAGGCGGAGATGAGGCGCTCGTCGCCTATCTCTGATACCTGGAGAGTGGGGAGGGGGAGCAATGGAAGGGTGGAACATTGGCAAGGGGGATGGGGATGCTACAGCACAAATGAAAGCCCGAGGTGGCGACAAGAGAGGCGTCGGGGGAGAGGGCGCAGGCGGATATGGGGCGCTCGTCACCTATCTCTGATACCTGGGGATGCCAGGGGGTTGTTCGGGAGTGGGGGGAAGTGGGGTGTTGAGGAGGGGGAGAAACGGGAGGGGAGGGGAGGGAGAATGAGAGTGCGGAGCAGCGACCAGAGGCGGCAGGCGCCGCTCCAGCCTGACGTGGCAATCAGAGAGGCATCCGGGAGAGTGCGCAGGCGGAAAAAGGGCGCTCATCGCCTATCTCTGATACCTGTGGAGGGATGGGTGTGTGGGGAGCCCACGTAGGGTGGGAAAGGGGCGGAAAGGGGGTATGAGAGTGCAGAGCAGCGACCAGAGGCGGCTCGCGCCACTCCACTCTGAGGTGGCGACAAGAGAGGCGTCGGGGGAGAGAGCACAGGCGGAGATGGGGCGCTCGTCGCCTATCTCTGATACCTGTGGGGATAGGGAGGGTGTGTGGGGGGTGGAGTGGAGGTGCAACACCACATGCATGCTCATTCATTGCACCGCCCAGTGCCGCTCCCAACCCACCTGCATGCTCATCCATTGCACCACTCGGTACCCCTCTCAACCCACCTGCATGCCCATTCCCTGCACCGCTCAGTACCGCTCTCAACAGACCTGCATGCTCATCCCTTGCACCACTCAGTACCGCTCTCAACCGACCTGCATTCCCATCCTTGCACCACCCAGTACCGCTCTCAACCCACCTGCATGCTCATCCCTTGCACCGCGCCAATCAACTCCTTCGCATCCGCCTCCTCATCCTCATTGGGATCCTCAACCTGCCTTTCCATCCCCTGCACACTCAATACCGCTCTCAACCCACCTGCATGCTCATCCTTTGCACCACGCCAATCAACTCCTTCGCCTCAGCCTCCTCATCCTCATCGGGATCCTCGCGCCGCCTCTTCGCGCGCCGAATCCTTTCACCTGCCCGGGGCAGCGAAAACACTGCAATCTCCTGCCGCGCCAGAAGCAGCTCCTTGCTCCCCTCGGTATAAAACAACTCCGCTTGAGGCACCTCCTCCGTTTCTAGAACCTCCGCGCCGCCTTCCCCGCTCTCCCGCATTTGCCGCTCGATCGCCTCATAGAGCTCGTCGAGCCGCCCCTCGGCGTCTAAGTTAGCCATAAAAGACCTAAGCCGGTCGCGCCGCTCCATTTCGCGCTCGCCGAAGAGCGTGATTGGCTCGCCGATCGCGCGGAGCCGCAACCGCACCGCCGTGTCGCTAGTAGGCACCGCGAGCGCGCGCGCGCGTCGCTTCATCTCGAGCTCCTTAAGCATCTGCTCCTGACGCTCTTTAGCGCGTTTACCGGTCTCTGATAGCTCGTACTCGACTCCCTCACCCTTACCCCCTCCTTCTCCTCCCTCTTCTTCATCCTCCTCATCCTCATCCTCATCCTCCTCGTCCTCCTCACCATCTCCCGACTTTTCCTCCTTCTCATCCTCCTTCACCCCTTCCTTGTCCCCGTCGTTGTCCGAATCGTCGCCACCCACCACGCCTGTCGCGGCGAACGCGGCAGCCTGCTTCTTCAGCTTCTCGAGCCGCTGCTTCTCGGCAAACTCGAGGCTTCCGAAGAAAATCGGCTTCTTCGGAACGTTCGCGATCTTGATATCCTCGTCGTCCATGATTGCGGGTGCCAGTACCTAGAAAGACAAGCGCCAGTAGCGGGGAAGGGCGGAAAATTGAAAAATAAGAGAGAATCTAGGTCAACTGAGCACGACCACGAGGAGATGTCCAGTGTACTCGGTAAAGGAGCTCTCGTTGTTACGCGAGATGAAAATGTGAAAGGCTTAGCATTAACATTGGCTGAATTACTCAAATCATGTTGAAAAATTGATGCAACTTGAAACAAAGAGTTGAGTTTCAGAGAAGCATTTATCCATGTGGTCTACTTATAAATTTTATATAAGCGCATATAACGTGGGCTATGCCAGTTTTCAAGACAGCCGATCAAAATTTTGACAAAACAATCAAGATCTGCTCTACTCATAATTTCACTAAGATAATTGTAAGGAAAATCCCCTTTCCTTAACAGGGCTTATTGCCTCGCGTACAACCCCTACTTTTTGAAGTGCACGTTCGACCGGTTTGCTTGCTACTGAAGCAACCCCACGTCGCTTTCGGTTTCCCTTTGCCAACCTGCACCCAACTTCGTGTTCCCGAGTGTTGAGATAGGTAGGAAGGATTGGGATGGATTAGGGCAAGGAGGGGGATACAATGAAGTGTCGAGCAACTTACTGTACCCCCTAAGGCTAAACCCACTACAGCCTGGATAGCAGTAAACATATAATTTGACACACCCCCATAGGCGAAGTGGGGGATAGCAAACACAACAAGCGGTCACAAGACCAGTCAAGAGAAGAAACAAAGCAAAGCAAGCTCAGGGTGGATCTCAAGATCACCACGCACTCTGAGCACTAGCAAACGGCCACAAGGCCCGTTCACATGCAGTTTAATAATAAAGCAAGTAGTACAATTATTACAACCTAGCAACCAGAAACATGCAGGTTTATATATCAAAGTACAAGATAAGGTCAAGAGACAAGCAGTGTTGGCCCGTGTGGCCACGTACAAAGGCGAAGCTGGGAACGCTGCTGCAACACTCGCACGGCAAAGGAACGAAGTGCAAAGTGCTATGTTCTGCTCGCTAGTCTGACCAGGTAGCGCAGTACCCTCCTAGCAGCCCGCCAATGCGCAGGGTGGTGTCTCCCGGGCGCAACGTAGCGAGTCCGGATGCTGAGAGGGTACGGCAGGTACTCCAGCTCGAACTGCCTGTCCTCAAGGACTTCACAGCCAAGGGCAAGCTCACCCTCGACGGACGGAGGGCACGAAGAGGCAGAAACGAGACCAGCAAGGTAGGCACGGCGGCAAGTAGTGGCAAAGCCTGCGAGCTCAGCTACTAAGGCACAAGCAGCAGCAGGCGAAGAAGCAGGTGCAGTCACAAGCGCGGCTAGACAACAAGGGATAGTCGGGCGAGCAGCACGAGCAAGGTCAGTCACAGGGTCAGGAACAGCAGGAAGAGAAGACGGGGGAGGTAACGGTAGGACAACAGGCTCCCGAGTAACACGAGAGGGAGCAGGGGAGGCGGCACAAGACACTAGCTCCCGACGCCCAGTCAGGGAGACGGACAACGGGACGTATCGAGCAGGAGCAGGCATTGGGGAGTCAGGCGGCGGAAACAACAGAGGAGGCGTAGTACAAGTGGGCGTCGGCTCAGGTAGCGACAACGACGGCTGCTCCAAGAAGATAGGCCGTCGCGGCAGCAACTCCAACGCACCCCCAGACCCAGCACCTCCAGCGCCAGCACCTCCAGCGCCAGTACCTCCAACTCCACAAACAAGAGGACTCCTAGCACCCCCAGAGGCAGCACCCCTAGAACCAGCACCCCCAGGGTCACCATCCCCAACAACACCTGGGCCCCCGAAGTCCGCAGCGATAGGCTGCAGAGGAGGGGAAGACGTCCGAGGCGGAAAACCCGGAGGTGTCACCAAGCGCGTCGAGCGGCGAGAGGTCGCTGTGTCGGCAGCAGTAGGGTCACCCCCCTCGATCGAGCCAGAGGAGGCAGACAGGACTACGAGACACGAGAGAACAGTGGAGGGGTGCGCATAGACCATGCTAGTAGGCGCACAAGCAGCGACACACGAAGGCTCTTACTCCTGGTGCCCGCCCCCGCCACTCCCGCCAGCTCCACTAAGACCACCCTCGTTAGCTACATTGTTGAGGTCTGACAGCGTAGGGAAGGTAAGAGGCAACGCAAGACAGCCTAGGACTGCAGGAGGGGGGGGGAGTAGCGCCTAACCACAGCGGAATACATAGCATGGGCCGACGGCACCTGACGAAAGTTGGCTCTCTGGTCGAACGAGAGGTGAAGGCGGACTGCAAGTGTGGCGGCGGCGTCTCGCGCCATCCACCGCTTGTAGGCAATGTGAGCTGCACGGAACTGCGTCCGCACCTCCTCCCCAGCGTCAGCAGCAGGCTCAGCAGTAGCCTTGGGGGCCTGAAGAGACCCCGACGTGTGCTCGAACAATGAGACGTCGTCGCGAGTGACACTATGGAGGTATAGGTGCAGCCCCTCTAGCCAGGAGTCGAACCCTAGAGGGTGCCCCACTGTATCAAAGGATAGAACAGTGGGAGTCGCCATAGCAGCAGGGACGACAGCAAGCATCAGGAGCGGTAGTTACGGCAGCAGCGGCAGCACAAGTGGCAGCAGCAGCGCAGGTGGCAGCAGCAGCTCAGACGGCAGCAGCAGCCTAGCAGCAGCGCAGGCAGGAGCAGCAGCTTAGCAGCAGCACCAGCGCAGCAGCAGGAGCACAGGTGGCAGCAGCAGCGCAGGCGGCAGCAGCAACCTAGCAACAGCAGCAGCGCAGCAGCAGCAGCACAGGTGGCAGCAGTAGCTGAGCAGCAGCAGCAGCGCAGCAGTAGCAGCACAGGTGGCAGCAGCAGCGCAGTAGTAGCAGCACAGGTGGCAGCAGCAGCGTAGGCGGCAGCAGCAGCTCAGGCGGCAGCAGCAGCCTAGCAGCAGCAGCGCAGACGGGAGCAGCAGCTTGGCAGCAGCACCAGCACAGGTGGCAGCAGCAGCGCAAGCGGAAGCTGCAGCTTAGGCGGCAGCAGCAGCCTAGCAGCAGCAGCAGCAGCAGCAGCAGCAGCAGCAGCAGCTGAGCAGTAGCAGCAGCGCAGCAGTAGCAGCAGCGCAGGCGGCAGCAACAGTAGCAGCAGCACAAGTGGCAGCAATAGCTGAGCAGCAGCAGCAGCAGCGCAGCAGTAGCAGCACAGGTGGCAGCAGCAGCAGCAGCGCAGGCGGCAGCAGCAGCGCAGGCGGCAGCAGCAGCTCAGGCGGCAGCAACAACCTAGCAGCGCAGCAGTAGCAGCACAGGTGGCAGCAGCAGCGCAGGCGGCAGTAGCAGCGCAGGCGGCAGCAGCAACTCAGGCGGCAGTAGCAGCCTAGCAGCAGGAGGAGCCCAGCGGCAGCAGCAGCAGAGCAGTAATGGTAGTGCAGCAGAATCAGCAGTGCAGGTGGTAGCAGCAGCGCAGCAGCCCACGGCAGGGCAGGGCACGCTCGAGGCAAGCGGCAGCAGTAGCTTTGCAGCAGCTGCAGCACAGCCAAGGCGCGCGCAGGCGGCGCAGGGCAGCGCGTAGGGCAGGGCAGGACTAGCGCGGGTGCGGGTCACTGGCAGAGCGCAGGGCAGGCGCTCGAGGGCGGCGCAGGACAGTGCGTAGGGCAGGGCAGGACAGCCGCGCACGGGCGGGGCAGGGCAGCGCGTGGGTAGCGTTTGTGTCAGAATGTTATGTTTTGTCTAGCCTGCAGTGGGGTACTCAATAGTGAGTACAGCCCAATTTAGGGTTTGCTATATGTACTCAACTGCTTGTTAGTGAAATCCTCTCTTTCTCATTTCCAACTTCCTTTGGTTTCCAACATGGAATCAGAGCAGGTCGACCCCCTCGGGTCGATCCTGCGGATGGGCCCACCCAATACTTCCGCTGCTGCTACTCTGTATATCGCGCGCCCGAGGCGCGCGCTGCCTGGGCGCGCGGCCATTTTTCTTCCCGCCGCGCGCTCGAGGCGCGCGGCGGTTTTCTGACCGTCGCGCCGCCCTGGGCGCCGCGCGACGCCCTACTCTGCCCGTCGTGCGCACCGTGGCGCGCGGCGGTGCCCTGCCCGTCGCGCGCCCCGGGGCGCACGGCGGTTTCGTCGCCCCGGGGGGCTCGTGCGCGCCCCCCCCCTCTCGTCGCCCGTCTTGGCGCCATCAGGGGCCCGCGCGCCCCCCCCCGTTCGTCGCGCCGCGGGACCCGCGGCCCCCCCAGGGTCGCCTCGACAGGCGACGGGAGGGGCGACAGCATGGGGCCGCGCATCGGCCCCACCCCCCGTCTTCGTCGCGGCCCTGCCCGGCCCTGCCCTCCCCGGCCCTGCCCCGGCCCTGTCGCAGCCCTGCCCCGGACCTGACGCAGCCCTGCCCCGACCCTGCCCCGGCCCTGTCGCAGCCCTGCCCCGGACCCGTCGCATCCCTGCCCTGACCCTGTCCCGGACCTGTCGCGGCCCTGCCCCGGCCCTGGTGCGGCCTTGTCGCCGTTCTGCCCCGGCCCTGTCCCGACCCTGCCCTGGCCCTGCCCCGACCCTGCCCCGGCCCTGCCCCCGTCTTCGTCGCGGCCCTACCCAGTGTTGGGGTTTTGGGTGGCGAGTATGGGGGTGCGAGCTGGGTGAAGGGTGTGTGACATCCCCTGCTCCTCCTCCTCCTCTGTCTCCCACTGCTGCAGCTGCCGCTGAGGGGGGTGGGCGTGTGGGAGACGATGGGGTGACACTAGGGGGGTGTGTCGTGTGGAAGTGAAACTAGGGGTGCAGCTGGGGGTGGGACAGTTTGGGGAGGTTGAAGGGGGGTGGCCGCCGTGAAGCCCGCAGCTCCAGTCGCCCGTGAGACCGTTGCGCCAGTCGCCCGTGAGCCCGTTGCTCCAGTTGCCCGTGAGCCCGTTGCTCCAGTCGCCCGTGGGTCAGTTGCTCCTGCCGCTCAGAGTTAGCCGCGGAGCCAGTTACTCCAGTAGCCCGTGTGCCAGTTGCTCCAGTTGCCAGTGTGCCAGTTGCTCCAGTTGCCCGTGTGCCAGTTGCTCCAGTTGCGCCGTGTGCCAGCAGCTT